CTATCTATCTATCTATCTATCTATCTATCTATCTATCTATCTATCTACCTATCTACCTACCTACCTATCCGTCTGTCTGTCTGTCTGTCATCTCTCTTCATCGCCATCTGTTTATCCTTCCATCCACACAGTATATCTGTGTACTATCTATCTGTCTGTCTCTCTGTGCACTATCTATCTGTCTGTCTCTCTGTGCATCTTTTTCTTTCTTTTCTTTCCCATCACCTTTTTGGAGTCTTTGTCTTCATATCTTAATACTTTCATCTGTGTTACTTTTACTCTTACCAAAGATTAAGTAATATAGAGTATCTGCACACATTAGTAACAACATTTTTCTAAGTAATAGCATTATGGAGTTGCAACTCTGCTCTTATCTGCAGTGAATACCATTTCTGTAAATGCAGAGAAAGGATAACATGTTGCTAATTTGAAAATACCTCTAATTGCCAGGGGGTGGTGACACACGCCTTTAATCCCAGTACTTGGGAGGCGAAGGCAGGTGGATCTCTGTGAGTTCGAAGCCAGCCTGGTCTACAAAAGGTAGTTCCAGGAGAGGCTCCAAAGCTTCAGAGAAACCTTGTCTTGAAAAACCAAGAAAAAAGAAAATACCTCTGATTAGTTGATAGCTTTCTTATTTTTGGAACATTTAAGTGTCTATGAATACAAATGTGTGGCAAAAGTCACCTAGCTTATATTATTAAACAATAATAAATTAATCAGAAAAAATTTATCTGGCTGTCTCTCCTCTGTAAAAGTACATATGTGAGGAGGATGGCTATTGGGCTTTGTAATTCTTATAAAATCATAATTGAAGTACTAATGTATCATATAATCAAATTAGTTTATTCTTTTAATCTGGCTGTTTCTCACTGCTACATTAACAAGAAAAAGGTTTATTTAAAGTGTAAGAGTCTTTTATGATAAAAGAAATGTGTACATCACTTCTGACCTGCAAGATTATTCTTCTATAAGAAGAATAATTTCAACAAAAATGACATTTCATATTTACTTTAGAGATTTATGATCTTTTAAAAATGTCTTAAATTGGGCACAGCATATATGCCTCTTATCTCAGCATTCAATATGAGGAATCAGAGACATTGCCTTGTCCAACGAGCTTCCACAAACAATGAAGCAGAGTAAAAAATGAGGAAGCAAATAACCTGACACTATTTTTGGAACATATTTTCTATGATTATTCTCTTTTTAAGCTCATATAAATGTGAGAGACAATTTTTTGTAAAAAAAATATTTTTTTTATTTAAATTCTATGTCTGTAACTCTGCGTGTGTATGTGCATATGTGTGTTGTGCCCACAGAGGCCAGAAGAGGGCATCGAATTCCCTGAAGCTAGAGTTACAGGCATTTGTGAGCTGCCCAGTGTGGGTGATGGAAATGAACCTTGGATCGTCTGCAAGACCAGCAAGTGGTCTCACTAAACCATCCTTTCATCTCTGAAACGAACTCTCCCAACTATTTTTGTTATGTGTTTTATTTGGGTTAAACCAAAGAGAGAGATGAATGTTCTTCTAATTAGGGTTTTAATCAAGAGGTAATCATCCAGAAGGTGGGAGAGAGAACTGACTACTCCAGCTTGAGGCTCACATTTGCGCATTGCAGAGAGGAGTGAAAATCTGTCCCAAGTGGCTTACGTCGAGAGCCTGTCAGCCGGACCAGGGCTCTAGCATGCCTTTGATTTCATGGGAGGTACTGAAGTGTTTTTGCAAAACATGCCTCGTGCCCTTCCCCTTCATACTACTACTAATTTAAAAGATTAGGGTGATCTGGTTTACATGGTCACATTATTTTATTCTTTTATTATCTGGCCTCTCCCAACTGCCACAGTGAGTGAACTCAGAGCCATGCTAGGCCAACACTGAGCCACCACTGCTTCTCTGGCTCTGGTGAAGTGGGTGACTAAAACATATTCTAAAAAGAATGAGTGGTCATTGCTTGCAAGTCCTCCGTGTGATTGACATAAACACTGTGCTTCTCACAAAGTCATTCACGTGGAAGCTACTGAGAGGGGCTGGTTGATAGGGGTGGGGATATTTAACCTTCTAATGCCAACCTGGGTTCCAGAACTGCACCTGAATGCAGTTCTTCCCACCAGTCTGATGGTACTCCACCCTACTGTGTTCTGTGAAATAACAGCGCCCTTTCTGCTGCCAGCTGTTTTGTAATAAATTTTCATTTACTTTCACCAGACTTAGGAATTCCATTACTAATAAACAAGCTTTACGAAGAAAGTGTTGGTAGAACTTCCACAGATTTTAATCGGGGCATAATCATTATTTTCCAATTTAATGCTCAACATTAAACTCAAATGGACTCTCAGAATCTTCCCCGGTAGGATTTGACACCAAGAACAGCTGCAGACAGGGAATCTTATTGAACTTGTGTTAATATCATTAAAGCCATCAATGTCGTTTAAGCAGGAATGGCAAAATTTTCTATGTAGATGTAACATGCAAACTGTGTAGATGGTTGTACCCATGAAAAATAAAGATGAATGATTGTGAGTTATACTTTATGTACGCACTTTATGTAAACAAAGTTGAGTGTTTTGCCGCCGTAAGAACCTACAGTTGGCGTACGGTCTGGCGTTCAGTCAGTGGAAAGTGGACAGGGCTGTTCTCGGTCCTGTTGCTGTCCTCACCCACAGCCTGCCCACCAGGCAGCCTCCTGCTAGCTTTAAATTATGCTTGTGCCCCAGACCCCGACCCACTTCAGACTTCTCTTATGTCCAGTGGTAAAACTCCGGTTCTTGCCTACGCCACTGGCGCTTTTGCACAAATAAAATGGCATGTGAAAATGCTTCTAAGATCCGAGTGTGCCTAGAGATGCCTGACTTCAACATTATCATGGAAATCTTTCCTGAGAAGGTTCTCCACATTGCTGTTTCCCTCTCTGCAGTCAAGAGAAAAAGCAGGAGTGCAAAAACACATGGTTTTGAGAATTGAAATATGCACACTAATGGATGAACAATCTCCCCTTGATTAGCATAATAATGCTAGTACCCATTTTGATGATGAGTAGAATAATTAAAATACTCATTTTGACGTAAGTCTCATCAGTTCCTGTTTGATTGTGTGCTGTATCCTGGGTACACGAGGCAGTCCTAACTACTCTGGACTTCTTCACAGGACTGTCCTTCGCGATTCTCTCATCTGTGCACCCCGTGTTTGGTTTATATGGATCTCTGTTTCCAGCCATCATTTATGCCATATTTGGAATGGGACGCCATGTTGCTACAGGTAAGAATTATTGTTTATGTTTAGTTATATGTTATCATATAGCTAACAAAAGGGACTTGAAGTGATTATAAACTCCTAATTTCCTGTCCAAAGCCCTTCTACCATACTGATATATGTGAGGTATGTTTGTTTATCAGATACAGATTATGATTTATTGCCATATTTCTGTGTTATAAAAAAACTGAAAATAGAAGTCTTGCTGAATTTACAATGAAATAAGAGAATGTAAAAATTTTCCAAAAAAACCAAAGTTGCTCAAATATTGAAAAAATATTTTGGGTGTAATTCTTTGGTTCTTGAACTAAATGATCTAAGTTTCCACGAGGTAGATTCTATGGGACCCTTTCTTTAATTGGTTTATCTTTTTCTTTTTTAAAGATAGGGTTTCTCTGTGTGTGTTCCTGGCTGTCTTGAAACTCACTCTGTAGAACAGGCTGGTCTTGAACTCAGAGATCTGCCTGCCTCTGCTTTCTGAGTGCTGAGATTAAAGACATGCACCACCACCGCCTGACTTAATTGGCATATTTTATCCTACCTCACTCTGCACTTCTGAAAAACCCAAGAATGAACACAGAGGGTGGTCGGTCATGGTTATTCTGATGACAGAATGGGCTGCATTTCCGTGTGAGCTGCACCTAAGCACATGCCTCATTTGTTATCACCTGCATGACCCTGAACACAGTTTTGAAACTCTATTTATTACTTTTTAAATAATAAGATGACTCCCCTATTTCCATTTCTTATAGTAGCAAGAGCTCCACGATGAATATATTGTGTTTAACTTAACACTTGCTTATATTAATGCAGCATTTATTGAGTTCTCCTATTATAAAAAGACACATTAATCTCAAGTATTCAGTTATAAGCAAAATGTATTTCAGCAGAAAGTATCTGCAAACATGGCCATTCATTTTGTGTGAGATCTCGGCCTCGAGGCGCAACATTTACAGCCCGTCTTCTTTGGCCAGAGTTGTTTGTATTACTTCTACTGTCACAGATTAACACGACATTAGTGGCTTGGAACAAAGGAGGTCCACAGTTCTGGAGGTCCCTGCTCTGAACAGGTCTTCCAGACCCCAAATGAGCAGTCAGTGAGACTGCACTTCTTATCGCCGGCTTCAGCTCATCTTCCCGACTTCTCTGTCTTCTAGAAGCGTCCTGCATCCCTGGAGCTCCTGGCCTTTCCGTGGTGGCATCTTCAGATCTCCCCAGCTCTGCTCTCTTGCTTCTGTCTTCTGTAGTTACAAGAAGTTGTGATTTCTCTGACTGTCTCCAGACAGTTCTGGATTTTATTTTTAAGACCAGCCGAGTAGTGAACTTAATTTTGCCTGCTGCATTTATTATTTCTTGCCATGGAGCATATGCATTTCTGGATTCGGAAGATTGGGGTTGAAATCGTGGGAGGTCATATTTTTTATTATCACACTGAAATATGTTTTTCTCATAAAATAATTTTCACTTGTATAAATTTGGTTTTTATATCACTAAACTTTTCTATGAGTGAGAGAGCAGAAGTTGGCAGTCGTTACAGACTTGCCGCCTGACAAGTCCGCTGTGCAGCAGCATTCTGAGGGCACGAGTTAGGGAAGCAGAAATATGGGTGTCCACTTCAGACATGCTGGATCAGAACTGGCCTTTTCACAAAAGTTTTACACCCATGTGCTTGCACACACGACACACACGTCTTTACATAATGACACATTTCAGCCAACAAAAATGTCATATCACATAAAACTGTTCATCATATTATCTCATATTACCCACAACAGTGAAACTGGCCACAGTGAATTCTCGAAATGTTTCTCTACTTTATAAGGCATACAACTATATACAATATATATATTTTAGTACGTATGTGTGCATGTGTATATATGCACATACATCTGTTTGTAGATATGTATATATCTCAGCAATATGTACACTTCAAGAGATTAACATGTTCTTGTCTTAATGCAACCTTTTAGGTGAACATTAGTTTGTATTATTTAGGTGAACATTTCAGGTGAACATTTCAGGTGAACTAGGAAAAAAACTCGCAAAGTTTCTTATGACAACACAGATTAAAGTCACAGACATACAGCTTACACCTCAGATGGGTCAAGTCTGGAACCCAAACTCTCTCTTTTTTTTCCTTCTAGACAATAAAATGTTTTAGAATACTCATTGAATTAGAGTTTTCTTCCAGATAGATAAAAAAGAGAAAACCACAGAGTGAATTAATAATTTTCTTCAGTATTTATTCAAACCAGGGTTTCACTAATAATCCTCCTAACTCAGCATCCTTTTCTCTTTTGTTGTTCTGTCCTTCTATCTTTGTCACAGAGAAGTTAAGTCTGTCTGTAGCAAGAAAGAGCAGAGGGTTTTAGAACTGACTTCACAGACATTTCTTCTGTTTGACACAAGATAAAAGAAAAAGGCAAAGCAAAATTTCCCAATAGACCCTAATTAGTCTAGTAGTCAACGTCATGTGTGGTAGTTCGCCTTCATCATCCGAGCACTCGGGAGGCTTCTGTGGGGAATTCTAAGAAATGTCACAGATTCAAGCCCTGCTTTAGGTATTTAGTGAGTTCTAGGTTGGTCTGGATCACAGACTGAACTCCTGTATTAAAGCAAAAAATTAAAAAAATACATAATTTGATAATACTGAAAAGTATAATTACATAAACCATTACATTTCATAGGTAATTGCCGTAGATATTCTCCTGGTTGCATAGTTTCAAAATTACCATTTATTTAAACTCTGTAAAAAAGTTATTTAGTAAGTTATTAACAGCTATAGATGTGTCAAGATACACATTTTGCAAACTTCAGAGTCATTCTACTGTAAAGTAAATGTGGGTGGCATCCTGTTTTTAAATTTGTACTTTTCAGAGCCTGCCAGCCCTTGCTATTGGTTGGAAATTAGTTAACATCAGTCATCAGCACTGTTAACAAACACGTGATGCTTTCCATCCTGATGTAAATGACAGGGGAACCAGAAAATGACTTTTGGGACCTTCCTGTGATCTTAACTATAAGAGTCATTGAATCTTTAAAGATGCCCACAATATTTAACATACAAATCATGTTTCTCTTTTATTTGGTCATATTTTAATGTAAGTGGGAGATTTATGTTTCCTGAAACTTTATTAAGGGTCCAATGTACTTTCGTGAAAGACAAGAACCTTATCATGAGTTTTAGCCTCCTAGTTAGGTGTTTGGAGTGCAATATTAAATTAGTAAACACAATAAGACATTTTATGAGAATCATCTTAAAAATTAAATTTGTTTGTTGATATTTTCATCCACATAAACAACGTGATTACTCCTTGCCCTTCCATCTTTTATTGTCTCCTTTTCTTCCCTATCAACACTCTCTTTGCAAATCTTTTTTTTCATATTCAAGTTTTTGCTTTAATATGCAACATGTATAATTGGAACCATCAGTGTGAGCTTGGAATTTTCCATTGGAGTATAGGGATTCACCAATGGTTGTTCAAATGATGGCAGTGACTCCCCAACTCCCATAGTTCATCAATGTTCACTAGTGAAATAGGAGGGCATCAAAGCCTCTTGAGTCCTCCAACCATCTGTGGTTGGCCATTAATAGGCTAATTCTTGTGTAGGCCCAGTGGAAGAAAGCGCAGTTGCTCTGAGTTCGTATATCTTTGAAAAACAATTACTTTCTGAAGCCGAAGTATAAAGATGTTGAATGTGCTAGTTAATTTAGCAATTTGAATTTTCATGATTAATTTATGGGCCCTGGCATTTTGTTTATGAAAATAAAAAAAGTGTACTCAATTATGAAATCACTGAAGGTAGAAAGCATATAGCATGAAGAACTGAATTCCATAGTTGTGACTATGAAACTTGAGGCCCATCTTGGAAGATGAGGGCTTGTTTTGGTAGATCAGAGGTCCTTACATTTTAGACAACAGGTGTCTAGTTTTCCGTCAAGGTCTCCAAGCTTTCCTTCTCTTGTTCTCTTCAAACCCTAAAGTTTGGTACAAATATCATTTAGTGGTTAAGGCAAGTTAGACCTAGAGTGATGTACTTAAGGTGGCATTCTTTATATATTGGAGGGTTGGGGGTAAACCTAGGCCACAATCCTGCGTCTTAGATGTTCTCTATTCAGAGACTTAGGAAAGTGTGTGACTCAGAAAAACACGATGGCTCGGTGGACATCGCAGTGAGTCAGATGTGCTGTTGCTTTCATGAAGTGGGGTGAAAGGAAAGGCAGGGAAATGGGGTGCACAGGAGTAGAGTTTTTTCTAATAGCTCTTGTTGGCTTTTCAATATTCATGAAACAACTGAATAGCTTTTGAATGTTTCCATGGACGTTTTCTAAATCATTTCATTTTCAGGCACCTTTGCCTTGACATCCTTGATATCAGCCAATGCTGTGGAAAGGCTGGTCCCCCAGAGCAGCCGGAATCTCACCACACAGAGCAACTCCAGCGTGCTGGGCTTATCCGACTTTGAGCTACAGAGAATCGGGGTGGCAGCGGCCGTTTCCTTCCTGGGAGGTGTGATTCAGGTGAGCAGCTCCGAGACCCAGGGGACCGGAACAGAGGGAGCGCGCAGTGTTGCATGTGGGTTTTAACTGTGGGTTTTTCTCCAGATGGATAAAGAGTGGATGTGTTATGGTTATGGAAATATATAGTGGTTCTGTAAATACTGGTTAGATGAATGAAGAAGATTCAACAAATTGAAGACACAGAGAAACATTTAGTAAAATCAAAACTTGAAAAGTTCTTTTTTTTGAGTTAGGAGATGAACATGAAGTTGGATGGGTAGGAAAGTGTTGAGAGCCTAGGAAGAGTTGGAGAAGGGGAAAGAATATGATAAAATATATTGTGTGAAAAGTTTTAAAGGTAAAAAAATTATGTAAAATTTTAATATTTTTAAAGTGAGGCAGAAGCACCAGGACTTATCCCTACTGCTTGTCCTGACTTTTTGAGAATCTATTCTCTTTGCATGGATACTTTGCTCAGCCTAAATATAGAAGGGAGGGCCTTAGACCTTCCCCAAAGCAATATGTGTTTTATGGCATGAAGAGATGGCTTAGTGGTCAAAAACACTTACTGCTCTTGCAAAGGATATAGGTTCACTTCTCATCACCCACATGGAGGCCAAAAACTGCCCAGCTAGTTTCAGGGGATCTAGCACCCTCTTCTGGCCTCAGTAGAAACGGGGTAGACACATGGTATGATACACATGTAGGTAAAATACACATAAACTAAAAAAATAAATAAATTTAAAAAAATGATTGAATGGGCTTCCTTGTAACACAATGAATCCATGCTGTTGTTCATACATGACCAAAGTATCTTTGGGAGGGATGTTGTGGGTGAATCCTCCAGTAGGAAGATGCAGCTAACTTTCTCGAATGCTTCTGTACTTAAACACTTTATGGTTTTGTTGTGTAGGTGGGCAGGAGATGGGACTTAGTCTGGACCCTCGGCATATTGGTGTGAGGTTTCTGGATCAAACCCTGTCAGTCTTTGCCTCCCTTACAACTCTGAATGTCTAATGCTGTCACACTGCCTGTTGTCACACTCTCCTTAGAATGCCAACGTTTGTATGCACTGTTTTCAACAAAATGATCAGGCCTAGACCCCTCAGAAACAACTTCAAGTTGGACATGTTGTGCCAGTCAGTCACTTTTGGTAACTGCTATCACACCTGATTAAAATAACTTAGAAGATGAAGGGTATGGTTGTGCCCACAGTCTCAGGACTGTCGGTCCACCATCGCTGGGCTTTATTCTGGAACCAATAATGACACAGGACATCAGAGAAGAGCATCATAGGGTAGCCAGAAAGCAGAGAAAAGGGGAGTGATTTGGATGCTGGCATTCTCTGAAGCACGTGTCTGCAACATGGCCTCATCCCTTGATGTTCACCTCCCAGTAGCACCACAAGGTCATGATTCTGTCTGTGGACTGGGTCACAGCTATAACAATCTAATCTTCACTCTGAACGTGGATTGGGGAGCAAATCTTCAATACATTAGTTTAGAAGATGCATTTCACACTCAAACTGTAAACACACAGAAAGGCACTAGCTATCAGGCACACACTTCCTAATTTAGTGGTCATTTTTGCTTACTCATTTCTTGTAAAGTAAATTATGTATTTACAACTTTTCTGAATGTCTGTGTTCTGGGCTGGTAGTCTATCTTGAAATATTGTCCTATTATATACAATATCATACATGAGCAGCAGAAAGGAAGAAGAGCTGATGGTTATGTGAATACATGGAAAGAAAAGAAACATGATCTAAGAAAAAAGAAGGTAAAATCCTTACAATATTGCCTTCTGATTGCAGCAGAAGGGCTGAAGAGCCAAGGTGCATAATGTGATAAGAACTGGTCCACGTAGTTACTAGGAACAGGATCTGTTTTCCCACGACGACTGGGCAGACTAGCGTGCCTGTCAGCTATTCTGTGTGTAGAACAGGCTTCCAGGAGGCAAGGCACAGCTGTATTACCCCGTGACCTTCACCAAGTGATTTCAAACGTGGACGATGCCAGCATACTCGAAGACTTGTGTGGGCAGGCTTGCTGACCTTTGCTTTCATGGTCCTTGGAAGGCTTTGGAGAACCCTGACCCTGGCTCTGTCTCAGAATCAGGACTACATTGCAGAGTTGTGAGTCACTGCTGTCTTCAGCTGTGTGACCTGGTGACAAAAGCTCGGATACATTGTGTTGAATTTATTGACCCCTCTGAATTCCTGCTCATTTGATATGACAATCTCCGTACTAAAATGGGAAAAAGATCACAATGGTAAAAATAACGAAGCTTGTTCTTGCTCGATTGTTTACCTTCCTGTTTCTCTTGCCCAGTGTAGCACAAAACAAGCAGTTACAGGTAGACATTAGTGCTTTCCAGATCTATTATTATTAATAGATGAGTTAACTGTCTTCTCAGTCTCACTTTAACCACTTTCCATGAGTCTCAAACGATTAGCTCGTGTTTTAGTATCTGAAGCATATTTGGATTAAGAACTTGCATAGTGAAATATAAAAGCAGAGGCCGAGATTTGAACAAGAAAACGAAGTCGTGTTGCCCTTACCGCAACTCCCTAGAAATCGAAGAGTAAAGCAGGATATTATTAAATATAATAAAATCGTCTCATTTCACGTCCTTTTATTGCTTGTAAGATGGGATCCAGATCGTTGTATGTTTCTCTTCTAAGCTTGTCAGACATCTGCTTTCCTTCCTCTGTCCCAGCCTCAGGTGCTGGGTGTGTATCTGTGAGTTTGTCAGTTGACCCCGCACTCCTTGGTCCCTTGTCAGGCTGGACCCTTGGCCTCTGTGAGCTCCTCTGGGTTCGCCTCCCCCGTCATCACTTGCGTCTCTGTCCTAAGTCCATGGGCAATGAGGAAAGTGTTCTGCAAACACAGGATGCTTTACAACCATTCTGGGGTTGTTTCTCTTACTTTTATGTTCCCCCTGAAGGCTCAATACATACAATTATTAATGTTTTTTTTAAAGTTTTCTGAAGCACACAATTGCCAGACTGTATAAATTAGACATGTTCTCAGCTGCAGAAAGCAGACAGGCCAGTCCTCAGAGGCCGACTTCAGAAACATTAGTTGCTTCAGATCGTGTGTTGGTAGGCATTAGTGTCTGTCAGCACTGTCAATTAACAAATAGGTCTGCTTTCTTTGGTTACTAGCAATGCCCTGTGCCTTAGTATGTTTCTCAGTTTTTAATCTCTCCCCTCTCTTTCTTCTTTCTTCTTCCCTTTCTTCTCTCTCATTCCCTTTCTTCTCTGTCTGCCTGTTTGTCGGTCTCCCACTAGTGACTGACCCCAGAACCCAGTCTTTTCTGTCTTCCTTCCTTCCTTCCTTCCTTCCTTCCTTCCTTCCTTTTCCTTTCTTTCTTCCTCCCTTTTTCTTTTTCTCTATCTCTTTTCTTCTCCATTTCTCTCTCTCTCTCTCTCTCTCTCTCTCTCTCTCTCTCTCTCTCTCTCTCTCTCCCTCTCTTCTGATTTTCAAGTCAAGGTTTTTCTGCATAGCCCTGGTTGTCCTGGAATTCACTTTGGAGACCAGGCTGGCCTCAAACTCACAGAGCTCTGCCTGTCCCTGACTCCCTAGTGATGAGATTACATGAATTTTAAGCAAACATTGGAAAGCTTTTCTACTACAGTGAGTTGAGAGAGGAATTAATATATGTATTCCTCCTAGCACTACGAGGACTTAAAAGTCTGTGTTCATATATATCTATATATCTATCTCTCTATATATTTTTGATGACTGAGGAAAATCGTTTCAGTGTTTCTAGAGTTGCATTGCCTTCAGGCAAAGTGCAGAGGCGTAAAGAACTAGGGGATATTAGCTGGGTGGTGGCGGCGGCACATGGCTTTAATCCCAGCATTCAGGAGGCAGAGCCAGGTGGATCTCTGGGAAAGTTCTAGGACATCCAGGGCTACTTACAGAGAAACCCTATCCCAAAAGACAAGAAAAAAAAATAACTAGGGCTAGGGATGTAAAATGCAAAAAGTAAAGTTTTATTTTTTATATATGACATGCTGTATGAATTTGACCTCACTATTGTTTTGAAGTGGCTGTCTCTTTGTGCCAGCAACACTTAGTTAAGGATTCATGCTTGGATTGCTATAGATACGATAGGAGATATTTAGATGGAACTCAGGGCCTGCCCTATTCACTGTATATCGTTCTTGGGATAGTCACACTTGGCTTCCTGAAGACTTTATTTTATCATTTAGTGCCATACAGGACAGTCCGCCTTTGTGGGTTTTTGTGCATATTAATGACAGCTCCCACACACTTGGTTTTAGTAGATGTTGTAAGGGAGAGGCCCGCTTGTTTGTCCTGGCCGCCCAGCTTGCTTAGCCTCGAAATATCCACACAGAAAGTGTATTAATTAAGTCACTGCTTGACCCTTTATCTGTAGCCTTTTATTGGCTCACTCTCATATTGATTTAACCCATTTCTATTAATCTGTATATTGCCACGTGGCAGTGGCTTACCAGGACTCTGGCAGCTTCATGGCATCTCTCTCTCTCAGTCTTTCTTCCTCCCAGCATTCAGTTCTGTCTTCCACACCCATCTAAGTTGTGCCTTATCAACTAAGCTAAGGCAGTTTCTTTATTCATTAACACATAAACAGAAGGACCTCCTACACCAAGTAGAAGTTGACCGTATTCCACAAAAGCAGTCATATTGACATTTATTGTCAATAATAATAATATTGCTACCCTTATGATGCTGATTTGTCAAATCCAAGGACAAGGGATGCTTTTATTTTTGTTCAAGCCTCATTTTGTGTGCTGCAGGGGTCCTGTAAAGTTTCTTTTTACAGATTTCACGTATCTTAGTGACGTTTATTCCTAAAGGGTTTTACTGCTTTGCTGCTATTATAAATGGGATTTTCTTTAATATCATATCATGTGGCTACTTTATATGATTCTGAAAACTTAATTTTACATGTTAATCTTATATTTTAATTTCTATTTTATCTTTTATTTTTTTTAAAATGCACCACACAAAGTAATTGGTTTTTGTCTA